GTGGCCTGCGCGGCTTGCGGGGTCAGTGAGGCACGGCGGCTAGCTCAGAGGCGAGCTCCGCTGCGTCCGGCGGAGATCCTTCCTGTCCATGCCGCTGCCGTTACAGCCCAGCCCGAGGCCCAGCCCCAGCCCGAGCCCTCCTCCTGGCCGGCGGTCGGGTCCCCCACGGCGAGGGCGCGGCGGGGACGCGGTGCGGTACGCCGACCTTGATCTTGACGATACTCGCTGCGCGTCCCGCCCCCACCCTGTGTCGATGGCAGACGGCGACACGAGAGTCTTCGAAAGCACGGGGGTGTGTATCCTACTTCCCCACAGCTAACAGGTAAACGAAAAGCGGGAAGGTCATAGCGGTCTCAAGTTGGTCAACCTCTACCTCTACCGGGATGACCAAGCGATAGGAAACTCTCGATCAATCATGACCGTACGGTCTAGGGAAGGGCACACTCAAAAAGTCGTGTCATTTAGAGAAGGTGTTATGACAACTCAGCCGTGAAGCTCTTACCGACTTACAAGCAAAGCAATGTTTTACCTGTAAGTGCCGTTCGGTGAATCAGAAGTCACCATGAGAAATAAGTTCGTACTTGAAACTAACTTATCAAAGTGTTTTGGGATTCTTTCCGACGCACCAAACTGGCGTCAGCGATGTATGAGAGGTCAAGGAGTTGAATCTGTGTTGAACTGTGCACATCATGGGGCGCGGACACTGTGGAGGCAACGCGGTGTGGAGACTGCGGGCTTGCCTTTTGTTTTGTTTTTTATCTTAGGCGGGGTGGGGTTGGAGTCGGCTCAGTAGGAGGGGCGGCGTACAGCACCGTAGTGATTTAGAAAGCGTAAGTGGCAGCAGTATGGCGCCCGCCCAGCCCAACAGAGAAAGGCCGCCCGGGTCTCCTGGAGCCACTGAGCCGGCGCGACACCTCTCACCTCCTGGCCCGCGGGGTCGGTGACGGAGGGCAGGGCGCGCCAGCTACACTGCGCTGGCGCTGGGCCCGCGCCGGCAACGCTCGCCGTCCCAACGCTTCCTGGACACGGCACTGCGGACCGAATCCGACCCCTGCGCGCCCTGCGCGCCCTGTTCCCCCCAGACTCATCGGTGCATTGAGCGGCCAGGGCCGGGGCGCAGCAGAGGGCACCGAGACCACGACCTCGGCTTCCCCTGATAGCAGGAGACTTCCGGTCCTGATCTCGGATATCCCTAAACGTGAAGTGTTTTGTCGTGTTTCGTTACCTTCTTCAGACGAAACACCAACGTTTACAAAATTCGAGATCGGGACCAGAAATGTTAGTATTTCGTCTGGAAAAGGGTGAACAAAAGAACCATTTTGGGGACTAGACCAGGGGCGGAAGTCGTGCAGGTTGCGAGCCTTCTAATGACCCCATAGCAGTGGGCCGTCCTGCGGGAACGGTTCTAATTATTATTACAGAATGGCCGGGGTTGCGCAGATAAGCGCCTGGTCAGGGTCAACTGCAGACGGACGGGCGCCGACGATAGCGGGCGCCAAAAAAAAAAGGGAGAGAGATAAATCGCATCCTGATCCAGCAACCAAAACCTTCGCACTGCAGGCGATAAAAGATAAAATTGGGGGGAAGGTGCTATGTTGCACCCAGGCGAGGCTCTTTGCCTTTAGTGTAGGGTATGGATCTCAAGGCGATGGCGCCTGGAAGCGCGCTGGAAGTGGCAGGCGCCGTCGTGCCGCACCACGCTACGCCACGCCACGCCGCCGCAGAGCGCTACGGAGCTGCAAGACTTGGCCCGCATTATTTCCACTACGATGGGGTCAACAATGGACAGCGCGGCGGCGGTGGGCTAGGTCCGGGGTCGCGGGGCTTGCGGGGGCGCTGGACCATAAAGCGGGCCGGGGGGCAGGCCGGAGGGGGCAGCCCGCGGGGGCAGGCCGG